AGATAGATTACAAAAATGTATAAGAAGTTTGTGATCCACCCAGAAGCTGCCAAACTCTATTAAAAATTACACTTTGTTTATATTTTTGAAGGACCAGATATGTTCAGATAAAGGCTATATCAGACCGATTAAAATGATAAGTAGTTTAATTGTTGTATATTTAAATGAAATAATATGATGTTAAGATTTATAGATGATATGTTACTAGTTGAAGTTTGAATTAATACTTGATGTTTGTTAGATGAAATTTAGGATATTACTAAATTACAAAGATTTTACAATTTTACATTATGTTTCTGGTTGGTTTGTTTTTGTGGGTCAAGCGACATCTCATTACATTTTTTACCAATCAGGTATTAACCGGTGATTCCATGGTACGTGGAATTGAACCGGGTATAGGTGATTAGAGGTTCTTAGAAAAATGAATTAATGGTATGATGATAGATTTAGGGACAGGATGCATGACAATGAGAGGGTTTATTATTGCTATCCTGTATGAAGTAATAAATATAATAATTATTCCGCCAGGCTTGAGTAATGCGTTAACAGAGATTAACAATTGTTGTACTAGTTCAATTTGTGATTGACATCCATTTTAAATATTTAATTATAAAATTTATATTTTTTATTCTATATTTTGCATTTTGAATATTTTTTCTAATTTTATATTCTACTTTTCTTGTACTCTACATTCTACATTTTGTGTTATACATTTTTTAACTTCACGTAGGGTAGATATACTAATGGACCGAAAATCGAAAATGAAAATTTTGCATTTCTCGACGTTTTAAAGGTTTCTAATTATTTTGGCATACCTCAGAAAAAATGGATTTGTGTGTGTGTTTTGTATATCTGCATTTTTTCGTTTACGTTTTCGGGCGCATAGAAAAATATTCGATTCCTATTGATAGGGAGATGTGCTGATTAGTTTTTGCCGAAGGCAAGTCCAGCCGTTACGGAGATCAAGAGCAGAGAGTGCAAAAAATAGAAATCTGGTTTTTGAGAGAACGGAGCATCCGATTTGAATGATCTAAAAAAACATTCAATTTGTAATGATTGGGAGAAAATGTGATTAGTTTTTAGCAAAGGCAGGTCTAGCCATTTTGAAGATACAGAACTAAATGTGCAAACATGGCAGTTTTTGTGAGAACTAAGCGTCCGATTTTAATTATTCAAAGAACTTTCTGCTTGTTTTAACAAAATAATTGCTTTTGGGAAAAAAAATTGTACCTAATTTTTTTTTCAATTTTTTTTTCAAGATTTTTTTTTTTGTACATTGAAAATAATTCAGATTTTAATTTTAATTCTGACTAAAGTTCTAATATACTTTAAATAAATAATTCTAACTTTGCAATTCAGTTTATAAATTCTTATAAATATTAGACAATGTTACAATATTTATAATAATCTCTTTGAAAACATTTAATATTCCTCGATCTTTTCGTTACGGTACTGGAAGTTCCAGCAATTTGACTTAAGGCACGATGCCACCATTAGTTATTCTATATTTTCACTATACAGCTATCAAAATTTCTGGATCTTGAAATTTTTGAACATTTGAATATATAATAAAATTGATTTTATTAAATTTTTAAGTTACACCAAAACACCTGCACGTTTATTTTGTTATTTGGAAACGCGACAATGACGAAACCGTTACGTTTTTTGCGCAATTTGTAAAAGTAACAAAAACGAAACCGTTACGTTATCGCGCAACATAACAGGCCGTTAGGTTTTTGTGGTGAAAAGAGTATGTGTGCCTTCTAGGTTACGTAGCCACTATGTTTGATGTAACACCTGTGACGTTATATTAACGTTTTAATCACGTTTTATGGTTTACTGGGTCGGTTTAATTTTTTGAATTTGATATTCTTCATTCTACATTTCTCTATTCTATTCTCATTCTACTTTTTTCAAGTTACAAATTCTATATTACAATATAGTACAACTACAAATACAGTATTCTTCATGTTAAATTCTTCATTATTAAATATTATAATCATATATTTTATTTTACATTCTGAATTTTCTATAAACTTTATATTTTATATTCTACATGTTATATTCTATATTTTACATTCTTTTTTTTACGAGTTTTAGTATCTACCAAACTATTAGTTCTAAATTCTATATTTTAATCAAGAAATGTTCAATACCAAACATTCCTATGGATTTGCCTTAGGAAAAAACAACTATCATTATTTATTTATTTGTTTATACACACCTGTCGGTTTTATGTGTATTATATTGCTCTTAGTTTAAACAATGGAGTGGATTTTTCATTACATCACGTTGGTTTCTGTTACTCAACTTACTGAACATCTTTTAATATAGTAATACTGATGTATTTTAATTAGTTATAATTTATTTAATATGTCCCAAAATAAATATGTTTTTTCTCTTTCAGTCTACGCATGGATCATTCGACCCACGATCCACTCTATTGTCTGCTGTTACACCAGCTCTGTATGGATCACAACAATATTCGCAGGCTGTGTCAAATGTCCCAATGTGCAGCAGTTTTGGGCTACAAGAATCACCTAATACTAATTCGTTGGCTGTCCAAGAAAGCTTTAAGGTAAAATGATCCTAAATGAAACAAATACATTCAACCAAAATTCGGTCGATCTTTCAGAATGAGCCTAGTACCAAGGAGCAACAATCGCGCTACCCCTAATGTTAAAGCAATAGGTAATTTGCATGAAAAATCTTTAGCAAACTCACTTCCACCCAATGTACTTTGTAAGCGTGCATCTCCTTCTGAAATTGATCCTTACAGTAGTGTAGGAAAGGACTCGAGTAGTCCAACTGTGGCTTCAGCACCTTGCCCTTGTGCTCACCGAGGTAATATTTTTTATTTTTTATTTATACGCCAATCGGCTTTATACAGTTTTATAATATTGTTTGCTAATTCATAACTTGTATATTTATATCTATATACATATACACACACATATATACATACATATATATACACCTAAGTCTGTTTTTACACGGAGATTGGTTCCAGAAGAATCCGTGTAAAAAAAAAACGTGTAAAAAAAGACATTGATCTTATACATAAATGGGTGATTTGTTCCTGATCTCTAAAACCTATTAAAATGAAAAACAAGAATTTTTAAGAACAAGAATTAAATTAGTGCTATTCACATTTGCTTTGACCAGTAAAAATTGTTTGTACGCGCTAAAGGGAATTCACTTAAATCTTTAAGCTAGTGTTCGCAAACTATCGATACTATCGATGGTTTTTCAGACTTTTTTCTTTCATAAATACTTTTTTGTGATATGAACATACTTCGCAAAATTTAATTTGACAAAAAAATTTAGGTACATAAAATTTCAAATCGTGCTAAATGGAATAAATTCGTGTAAAAATTTAAAAATATTCAATTTTCAAACCGTATTATATCAAAACCGTGTACAAAAACAACGACCGTGTAAAAACAGACTTAGGTGTAATATATATATATTTTTTTTTAGAGTTTCGAACAAGAATCCAAAATAATACATAAATAAATAAAAAAACAAGAAAGTTTTTAATAACAATTTCTTTATTTAATTATTTTACTGTCAACGTTCGGACTAGTTACGTTCCATCTTCAGGACATCTGTCAAGAAACATGATCTTGATAAGATTTAACAAACAATATGTTTTAAGAATATTAAGAAAATAGTTTTTTCTTAAATAATAAATTAATTGTACAAATATAATGTACAGAATATGATAAATGATCAAATGAAATGATAAAATAAATGAGTGGATTATTAGAACAGGATATAAAAATGATAGAAATTTTTTGAAAGTTATGGAAAAATTTTTTTAAGAAAGGATTATGATAAAATTGAATTAATTACCTGTATTTTGAATATACGTTAGCACTTTTTCACTAAACAAGAATTTTTGACAAAAAAATGAATTTGTGAGTTATTTTTCCGCCGAATAGTGAAAGACATTTTAGAACTAAAGCTTTCATTAAATCTAATAATATTATAGTTTTGCCCAGCCGATAAGGGTAATATCACAGTCATTCTTGACAAAGAATTTTACAACAATTCCGTCCTTAACCTACTTAAAGATGATACAACATATAATATTTTAACAGAAGATCCCACACAACGTTTTTCTAGAATAGCTTTTAAATTAATCAATGACCTGAAAAACAAAAACTAATTTCTGAGAATTTTGCTTTTAACCTAAAAATACAACACCCCTATCTCCCCTAAGATGTACTGTCTTCCAAAATACACAAACCTGAATGCTCTTTCAGACCGATTGTCTCCTACATTGGCTCTCCTTTTACAATATTTCGAAACTCATTTCTGATGTCCTAAAAAATGTTACAATCAATTCTCCCTATTATGTCAAGAATCGTACCAATTTGTGAATTTAATTAATAACCGCAACATCCCTGAAAATCACTTATTTCTAAGCTTAGATGTGGTCAACCTTTTTACATGTGTCCCACATGATTAATCCTAAGCTCAATCGATAAACGTTGGCACACAATTGTAACTTTACTGACTTTTCCGAAAACAGTCTTCACTCATATTATCAACACTATTTTAAATTACTCCTATTTCCATTGCCAAGACACTTTTATTCTCAAATTAAAGGCGCAGCTATGGGATGTCCCTTATCTCCCAATTATCGACTTAGTTTTACAAACACTAGAAATTTCCGTTTTCTTCTCAACTTTAAATTTCAAATTAACTTTTATATTAGATATGTAGATGACACTTTTTTTTATCATTAACAAAAATCATATAACACAGTACTAGATCTCTTCAATAACTTTAACAATAATATAATTTTCACACATGAACTACAAAATAACAACAGGCTTAATTTCTTGGATGTATCCGTTTACAACACTAATAACGTTATTCGAACAAATTTGTATAGAAAACGACATGGTCGGGTAGATACTTACACTATTCCTCATACTGTCCCAGAAACTATAAGATATAACTATTATTTCCCTTACAGACCATGCTATTTTGTTGTCTCACAAACTTTCCATCCACAAAATTTATCCCTAGTAAAATAACTCTAATTGAAAATGGTTACCCAAAAAATCTCATTCATTCAGTTATTCAAAAAAGACGAACTTTTTTAAAAACACAATTAATTCTCCCAATACCAGTACCAACATCAAAACACCAATCTTATTTACTGCAGCATACCATACGTTGAAGATTTATATTATTATTTTGCCAAAATTTTTTAGAAGAAAACATTTTAGTATCAGGCTCATCCTTACACTCCTTTAACCAATTCTTTACGAATATTAAATCTCCTACCCCATGCAATTTCAATACTAATGTAGTATTCTGTTTCTTGTAATGACTGTGCTTTTTCAATATATTGGACAAACCTCGCAATATGTACACAAGAGAATGAGACCAAACATGAAACTAAGTGTGGTCCACCATAAACAAAAAAATTTCAAAAGTACCCTAGTACAACACTCTATAGAAAACGCCCATTCATTTAATTTCACTCCAAAGATTTTATATCACGAAAAGTTTGAATTTTTAGGAGATTATTCGCGGAGAGTTGTCTTATTCTCTTGAAGTTTCTAACAGTGTCAACATTAGATCAGATCACAACTATTACATGATTCATATTTAAATTTTTTACACTTTTTGACAAACAATTAATATCGACTTCATTTTAAGTTCAATAATTAAAGTATTTACACCCTAACATGAGAAAAAAACACACACATACAATCTCACAGTTCTCGTTTCAAGTGTTACACGTGTTACATATGAATCCATCAAATACAGTTTAGTTCGCTTCCAAAAGCCAATAGTAAACTTCGAATATATTATTTGTTTTCAAATAATAATTTTAAAAGACAACACTTTTAGTAATTTTGATTTACAAAAGTTAACTATTCGCGGAAAAATAACTCACAAATTCATTTTTTGTCAAAAATTCTTGTTTAGTGAAAAAGTGCTAACGTATATTCAAACATACAGGTAATTAATTCAATTTTATATTAATCCTTTCTTAAAAAATTTTTCCATAACTTTCAAAAAATTTCTATCATTTTTAATATCCTGTTCTAATAATCCACTCATTTATTTTTATCATTTTCATTTTGGATCATATTATCATATTTCTGTACATTATTATTTGTTACAATTAATTTATTATTTAAGAAAAAACTATTTTCTTAATATTCTTAAACATATTGTTTGCTTAAATCTTATCAAGATCATGTTTCTTGACAGATGTCCTGAAGATGGAACGTACCTAGTTCCGAAACGTTGACAGTAAACAAATAATTAAATAAAGAAATTGTTTATTAAAAACTTTTCTTGTTTTTTTATTTTGTATTATTTTTGGATTCTTGTTCGAAACTCTACAAAAAATATACACAAATCCAAGACTCTACCATTCAATATATATATATAAACATATATATACATACATATACACATACATACACATCTACTTACATACAGATATACATACATATATACTCACATAATACGCATACATATACATACATTCGCATATATAAGTACATAAATACATACACATACATACACGTAGACTTTATAAAAAAAAACTATGATAATTAAGTAACATAAAATAATACTTTGGTTAAGTAATATGACTTTGGTGAAATAATTAATTGCACAAAATATTGTGGTGTTTAAGTTTTTTCTTTATGTTAGCCTCAAAACTTTGTTGACGCATTTCGAAAAAGTTCAAACTGCCGCAATACTCATTGACTTCTTGGCTAGTCTTTAAGGGGCTATTATGCACGTACTTTTTTGAGGATTTTGCTGCACAGATTAATCTATTGGATATATTATGATATATTGTGATCTGATTATTTAATTATTAAATAATAGAGCTTAACAGTTTCCAATAATGTTTGCTTTTTACAGGTGGTGAAGATCCGCCGCCTCAATCACGCCGATATCCCCAACAGCATGCTGGTAATCAAGATCATTGTGGCCACCATCCACAACAACAAATGCAACATGATATGCAACGAAATCGTCATCAAAATCAGTCGCATAAATTTAACGCCAACGAATACCCTCTAAAGGAAAATCAAGATCAGCATTCACATCAACAAACACAGCAACAACAAGATCAGCATCCGCATGAACATACACAGCAACAACATTATCATCAAAATCAATTACAACATCATCAAATGCAGCACGAGAATCAAATGAACCCGCAACGGGAATTTCAGCATCCGTCGCAGAATCAATTTCATCATCCATCTGCTCATCATGATAGTAGTATGCATAATCAAAGTTTTAATAGGAATCAGCATCAGCATCGATCTTATGATGATCAAAATCAGAGTTATCACAAACCTCAAGCCAACAACTTACATCATAATGAGCAACAGCAAAATACTTTCCATGGTAGTGCTCATCACCATCAGCAAAGGAATAATTCTAAACCTAATTTTGATGAAGTGCTGCGCAACCAACAGTTGCATCAACGTAATATGAATCCAGCACACCCACCGAAAAGTAATCACCAACCGAATCGATTGCATTATGCTGAAAATCAAAATAAAGACAACGGGTCACATCATCCTGAAAGCGCTTTGCACAATAGGGGCAACAGACTACAACATGTACCTAATGTTCATCAAAATAATCCCACCCCTTCTCCACAAACAAACAAAACTTGTACTAATCCATCATGCGGTCAGCAGATACCACATCAACATGATCAACAAAATTACAACCAGCCAGATTTCCAAAAACGGCAGGTACAACCTCCCACTACACCTGATATCCAGAAACCCAATCAGCAATGTCCTGTGGAGACTTGCCCAAAATCACCTACTCATCTTGAAGACCAATTACCTTCTAAAGACCAGCAGCGTTTACACCAGGAAGCGCAACAACTCAACCAGCGCGTTTTGGATATAACTAATCATGCTCATGATGATAACCATATGCAACACCAGGACATGAGACCACACGAATGTGAACACCATGATGAGAACTTTGATCAAGGTCAAAGTCAAGGCCATGAATGCCCTCATATGGGTAAAGAAGATTGGAATGCTGGGGTTTGTCCACATGATGGTCACGTTCTTCCTGATCATCACAATAGTAATTTACCGTGTCATGATGATGGTTTGCATCATGAAGATGATGCTCATCCGTGTTATCACAATGATTGCTTGCATCACAATGATTACCAAGATCATTGTCATGATCAACAGGTAGCCCATCCCGTCCAGCATGGGCAGCAGAATGATTCACATGTTTGTGATGGTAATTGTCATCATCAAGATCAGCAATATGGGCACCACCAACCGCGTCAAAATTATCATGATCAAGTGAGATAACACAAATAATTTCAATATATTTTTATATATGTTCACAAGAGAATATTTTGTTATTTCAGGTGCACAGTCCCAATATGAGAACCCGTGCTTCCGGATCTGATTGCGAATGCCAGCATTCTCCATCTCACTCTCCAATGCATTCACCAGAGTCAGTTTTAGAATCGGAGATTTGCCCTGCTATAGGTTCCTGTGCAGAATTGGAACCGTATCCTCAAATTCCAATTCGACCTTCTCTTGCGTCACCTCGAATCGGAAAGAATGTTTCTAGTAGACCGACTACGCCTAGGGATAATGTAAGTTGTCCTAGATAAAAAAGAGCTGATGAGCAAACTAACAGAAGCTAAAAAAGCACTACTTCAGTAACGAGCAAATTGAATTTGGTAGTGATGAACAAATATTGATAACTAAACTAAATCAAATTGAAAGGAGTTTACAGACGAGCAACCTTAAACAAAATCAAAAGCAAGCCTGAAAGCAAATTAACTTAAACTAGGTTGAAACAGAATTCTACTGACGAAATTGTTGCCAACTTTCAACGCGAGTATTAATCAAAATTCATTGAATGGCTTTTAATTTTTTTTCAAATCGAATAATCCGTTTTTGAGGATTCGTCGAGAAAATTCCAAACTTCGGCTCAAATACATACAAACAATCACATACTTGCAAATGTCGGTGACAACTGATTCAGATGACTTGAAACGTCTAGAAAACATCAAATGATCAAATCTGATTTTTCGGCGAAAACCAACTTCTCATTTCGGAAGTTAAAAATAAAATAATATGATAAATGTTCTTATTTTAACTTCTATTCTTTCCTCTGAAGATGGATTTGCATCAGAGACCCACCAGACAACGTCCAAGCCAGCATTCTGCCAGACAACATATGCAGCAGATGATAAATGCTGCTGCGCCAGTCACACAAAAGTTCGGAGGAGGAAGAGTAACGCCGAGAACTATGGAAAAGCCTGCTGATTCAGTCTTGCCTGTGCCTTTGCCGTTTATGGCTGAAAATTGCAGGTGAAAAACATTATCAAATAAACTTCCAAACTTATTGTACTAAGCTTGAGAAAAAGATAAAGTAAGCGGCTTTATTTTTTTCAACTTTCTAATATAGCCATCATAGTTTTCTTATTTACTTATTTTATTTCATTTTTATTTTATTCTAATCTATTCAGTGCTACTACTACTGGCAGGTGCAGGGGGGCCCACGACAAATGGCCGCCACCGCATTCGGCAGCTGTTGCAGCAGTACCTGGTAGACGACCTTCAAAACTCTTTGGGATGCCGCAGAAGAGACCCTACACTCCTCCGTTGCCGCCAGCAAATTTGGACATGTATCTGCCTCCTAAATGTAAGTAAAGAAAATACATTTTTATAAATTAATGTGATATTTTTATTATTATTTTTTTGCATTCAGCTCCTATGCAGACGAGAAAGACTTCTTCTGCAAACATTAGACGTCGCAGATCTAATTCTATTGGAGGACCTCTTGCAGCAATAGCAGGAGTGCCGAGAAAAGTTCCTTCGAACACGAGCAGGAGATCTGCGCAGGGGCCAAAACGTACATTGTCCAACACCAGCAGAAGGTAATTGATGATGATATTCAAATTCAACTATATTTTTAATTTGTTGGTAATATTACTCACATATTATTAGTGAATAAGATTGCTCTTAAGATAAATGATTTTACCTTACATTAGGAGAAGAGTTATAAATATACATTCAACATTATCAATGTCATATGTATGTTACATTTCAATATTTGCATTATCTTACTTTACATTTTAAGATATAAAACTTAAATTTCAAATTATATGTTTTAAATTCAAAATTTTTTACTATTATATTTCAATTCATTCTTCAAAAAATATTGTTTATAAACAACAAACTAAGAAGGAGCTCTGAGGATGCACTTTCTTCATTTTATTCTTCTTCCTCAGATCTTGGCACGCCACAAAAAATTCTGCGCATGCAATTCGACACAAGTCTTCTGCAGCAAGCCGCGGAGGCTACTCTCCGCCACATGACCATGACCACCAGCATCACCACTGCCCCGAAGTCGAACACGACCGCTGTTTGGAAAACGGTCATGCCTGCTGCGCCGACAACGAATCTCCACAGTGCCCAGACAACAACCGCGTTAAGTGCTCCGATCACTGCAGCAGCCCAATCGATCATCACGCACCTTCAGGCCATTCTTCACCGAACAACAAATCACCAAGAGGTATTCAAAACTAGCAGGCGGTCAAGAAAGAGGTAAACCAGTGGTTCAAGCTGACAAAAAAATTGAGAGTTGTGAAAATAGTCTGAATTTGAGTCCAAGTTATTATCAAGGTTATCAGAAATCGCCTCCCTCAGCAGAGTTGGGTAAAAATAAAACTAGTTATAAGTCCATAGAAAGTCCTAAGCAGTGCGGAAATAAACCTTGACCAAGGGCCAAAAGATCCAGATTAATTTGGAGCATATTATACAAGGGAGGAAGTTAGGTCCTAATTCTAAAGCGGAAGTTGAAGCATGTGAATACATTCCGAGAAAGACTTCAAAAAATAATAAACCACTTTGCTCAGGATGTGATCAGGTAAGTACAAAATATTGACATCAACTTTTATGTGTTATGATAATATATTGTGTATTTAGGCTTGTTCACCTGGTTGTCCACTATCGCCCACTCATCATGAGTCTCCCCCATGTTCTCCCAAGGCCAATGATAATAAATTCCTAAATCCTCAGGATTCATGTAGGCCAGGAACTCAGAAAACATATAGACCAGGACCTCATGAATATCATAATCCAGAGATTCACAATCAACAAGAATGTCATAACTCGGGATGCAAAGAATGCTGTCATCAGAATCAACAACAACATCATCCAAGTAAATAGAATTTTGATGAAAATTTTCTGACTTTTTTATTGAAGTTGGTTCCTTTTCTAAATTGCAATAAAATTTTCTGTAGGTTATCATGGACAACCAAATCACCCAGCTCATTCAGCTCACCACAACCAGCCAAAGCGCGATGGTAATTACCACCCAAAAAAGCACAACGCCATGACTTCACCTTCACATCCGCATCAAGAATGTAAACATCAAGAAGACAGGTACTAATACACATACACATACCAAAAAACTTAAATTCTAAGCATACCTTTTATTCTTCATCAGATATTGCTCCCCATCGCACTCACAACACGTGATGCCTTGTGAAAATGAACACAACCACAAATGCCAAGGTTGTGACTCTTGTGCTTACGATCATTTTCATCAGAATTCTTCCTCAAGAGGTTATTCTCAAGGAGCTTCTCATCAATGTTCGCATGATTTATTGGAATCTTATGATGATGATGCAGAAGCACTCATGTTGAAGTGTTATGATCATTTGGAAGGATTGGCTGCTGGTGGACAGCCTAAGAGGATAAATTCTTATGTGGGGTAATAATAATAGAAGATACAACATTTCATAATATCATTATGTTTACTTTGCTGCCATATTTATTATCTGATATATTTATTTTTATTTGTGATTATTAAAGGGAAACTCCAAACAATTCTAGAGATTTATCTTCGTGCAGGCCACAGATGATAGATTTGAACTCTGAAACCTCTTCTTTTGAATCACAAAGTGTGAGTTATATAATGTATTAGTTATTGAGTTGAGTGAGATAATTATAAAAACTTGGATTTAGGTGACTTCCTCAAGATTTTTTTTGGTTATTTGATGATGAACAGTAATAATCCTTTAAAACATTAAATTAAATAAAATAAAATTAGATCTTCTTACTTCTTACTAAGTTTTTACATTTATCTAAAGCCGTCAAGAAACTTAGACAGCATCTTAATTAGGGGTTATCTATATTATATGGCGCAATGGTGCATTTTTTATCTATTCCCCAGATGTCTTCCCCTCAAACCAGATCCTCTAGTGGACCATCCCAGAACATCTGCCCCTCTCTTGGAGGAGGAGGACCGATAATTTCCCGAGCCATGATCCGGACGTCTTCGGGAGATATGCGCAGACGCTCTTGGCGCTCCTCGTCCTGTCATAGGGATCAGCATGACGGCAAAGCCATACTGGTGAGGGGTACACCTTTACCGCCCTCGCCAAGTCCTGATGGATTTACGACGCCTGATACAGGTGTGCCGTCATCGGATTCTGATTTCATAAGGTAAAGGAAAGTCAGTATTATTATAATTTATGATAGGTAGATAGACAGAATTTAGGTTTAATCCTATGGCAAAAAGGATGATAGTCACAAAGACTGCACAGCAAACATATCATTTTCACAGTTTTTAGTAACAGGAAAGATTTATGGTTAGTTTATGGTCTATATAGCTGAAGAATTGGCCTGTGAAATTTTCTTTTTTGCACTTCTTGCCCTGTATCTTGAAATATCTGGACCTGTCTTTGTCAGATCTCCCATCAATAGCATCATCATTTTGAATCATTTCAATTGGTTGATGCTCTTTGAAAATTTCTATAGGATCACAATATTTAGCAAGTACGGAAACATATATTATATATTCTTAAACTATATTTCTGGAATCTTTTAGTCATTCAAGGTAGGTGCAAATGCAGATATTTAATCTGAAAGCAGATGATTTGCTGTGGTTTAATGCATCACTCACACTTATCAAAATTCATGATTTTTTACCTATTTGTCTATTATCAGGGGTCAACTCAGAGTAGTTGAAGAAAACTTGAAGAAGAACAAGTCACGTCTGTCCCAAAGTCGCAATAGATCCAGCATGCTCGCCAACTTGGAAGATCTATTCTCTAAACGACCACCAATGGTGGACTCATCATGCTCTGCTGAAAACTTAGAAAAACTGACTCCTAAAAAACCAGAAGCTAGATCACCTCCTGTAGTCGCTAGAAAGAATATTACCACTGAAAAAATTATACAAGATTACTTTGATTCCCAAAAATTGAACCCTAATGTCCGATTAGTTAAAGAACCCTTAAATGATACACGTCCGAAAAATGTAGCTATAAAAATCACTGAAG